AGACATTTCTGACATGAGTTTATTCTATATTATCATTTTAAAAAAAATCATAGAGAAACAACAGCAATTGAAACATGACATGACCAGTTTAAAAGAAATCCTAAGCTAAAAATCATACTAAAAAGCAGAGTGGAATCATGGAAACAGGACGATTATACAATGATACAAAGAAATCCTGCATTGGTTTTTTTTCTGCTATTTTCATTCATTCAGATAATATTCACAATGCTCCTATGATTTTTATTAAATTTCACAGAAATTTGGAAGAATATAAGACTATTTTAAGAAGGTTAAAAGTCTCCTCTTTGTTTTGAGATTACCTCTTTCTCATTTGCCACCACTGGTGAAATACCATGAAAGAAGACATGGAAGTAACATAGACTCATAAAATTGTTTAAGTTTGAAAAGATCTCTAAGATCATGGAGTCCAACCACCAAACTAGAACTGCCGTATTCACTACTAAACAACAAGTGCCACATCTACACATTTCTTGAACACATCCAGGGATGGTGATTCCATTTTTTTTCCCCTCCATTTATAGACATTGAAATACTCAAAGCAAGATATCTCAATATTACATTATCTTGGTTTAGGCAGTTCATGCACAATCTTACTGTTGTTTCATTATAATTTTCTGTTGTTACTCTGTTATTCAGTTGTTTGAGAGGTGACAAGCCAATTTTTCAAGTTGTGTTAAAAATTAAAAGAAGTAAAGATTGTTCTCTTCAAATGCCACTTGTGCAGTCTTGAAAAAATGATTAACTGGTGTCTTAATTTTCCTGGTGGTTTAGTCATAGTAATGGTAAGTTGATGAAGAAATGAACTCAGTGTAAACACTCCATTCAGTTGAAAGATGCTTATTTGAGTGTTAAAAACTTTTACATCAATGTTACTTTGAACACACTGCACAGAGCACTGTTAAATTACAAATGAGGGAGTTAGATCATTACTACTGTAGGATAAAAGGGAGGAGTAAGTGTCTTCTGTATTTGGGTTCAACATCCAAACAGGATGTGAATGCTTGCCTTATTGAAAGAAAAGAATAACCCTTCTTACAGTAATCTTCAACGTGACTTTGAAAAGATTATTTACTAATCCAAATGAGTTTTGTTTTCTGACTGACAGCTATTTAAAAAGATTAAACAAAGTGTATCTGATCACAGCTTTTCATGGTAAAACATATGGATTGTGAGACATCATGCAATTATTTACTAGAGTTAAGTACACTGGCATTGAGGAGATACAACACCTGAGCTTCATGCTGCCCCTTCCTTAATCCCTTCACTGATTTGCCTGATCAATAGCCAGCTCTTTCAAAGCTGATTTCAAAGCTCAACTCTCCTAAGTGTTTATTAATGCTATCTGACATGACTGCTGTCTTCACTACCTCCCTCCATCCTAGTCTACATGATTAGTACACTACAGTTTCCCACAGCCTGTAGTGTACCCTTGTCCTTTTGGAGAGGTAAAGTATGTTGGAGCCTTCTAGGAATTACCGCAGTAAAATGACAAAGCAATATTACAAGGTTATTTTAAAAAGACCAGTGACCTACTTTGGAGGCTTTTTTGAGAACATCTGTATGGAAAACTGATATTGTGCATCACTTATGCACAGTATCCTGACTAGGCTATAGCTTGAGTCCAGAAGCTTCCCAGTGTAAATGGGGCAGCTTCACCAAGATGAATGAAGAAACCCATTGTCTATGGATGCTGAAACACACAGTGTTGACCTGAGGGAATGGCCTAAAGCTGTGTCATAGGGGGTTCAGGTTGGATGTTAGAAAAAGGTTCTTTACCCAGAGGGTGACTGGATGCTGGAACAGCTCCCCAGGGAAGTGGTCACAGCACCAAGCTGACAGAGTTCAATAAGTGTTTGGATGGTACTCTCAGGCACATGGTGTGATTCTTGGGGATAGTCCTGTGCGGGTCCAGAAGTTGGACTTGGTGATCCTCGTGGGTCCCCTCCTATTCTTTGATTCTGTGATTCTTTGTTTTTTCATATTGCACACTTCTAAGCTGATGAACATCTATTAACGTCAATGGTAAAACATCAGTTAGATTCTCAGTTATATCTTCCAGGTGTATTATCAAGCTAATACGCAATAAAGAGCGATAGAAATCAGCTGTTCAGAAAAGGGCAACAGGCTCATGAAGGGTCTAGAAAACTTCTTATGAGGAATGGCTGAGGGAGCTGGGTTTGTTTGTCCTAGACAGAGGATGCTCAGGTGGGAACTCGTCCCTCTCTACAACTACTTGAAAGGAGGTTGTAGTGAGGTAGGGCCAATCTCTTCTGCTATGCCTGCAGTGAGAAGATAAGAGGAAATGGCTTTAAGCTGAGAGAGGGAAATTTCAGTTTAGATATTAGAAAAAAATTTTCATTGTTAGAGTGGTCAAGTATAGGAATAGGTTGCCCAGGGAGGTGGTGGAGTCACCATCCCTGGAGCTGTTCAAGAAGCATCTGGATCTGGCATTGGGTGATATGAGTTAGTAGTTCAGAGGTTAGAGGGGTAATGCTGGGTGGACAGTTGGACTGGATGATCTTGTAAGTCTTTTCCAACATTGATGATTCTATGATTCTAAAAGTAGTTTTACTACAACAAAAAAATAAGTACAATTCTTATTTTGTATTGGTCTAGTGGTTAGGGTGCTGCGCTCTCACCACTGCGACCCGGGTTCGATTCCCGGCCCCCCGGGCAGATGGAGCTCGTCAGCCCTGTAAGGCAATCCATCTAAGAGAAGGTCACTCTAAACAAACCTACGTCCTGAGACCCTCACTGCCACTGTCCAAGCTTGCTCGGCCCCGGCAGATGAACCTCAGGATTAAAGGGTGGGCTCAGTTCAGCGCACGCTGGGTCTCACCTAAAAAATCCACTGCGCAGGCTCGAAGGGTTAATGACCTTTCCCAAATCTTCGCTCGCGAAGACTGGCCATATTATTATTATTATACAGAGGATCCAATTTACGATGCCAAATATTTGTCAAAAGTACTTATAGCTTCTGCTCCCAAAGCATTTAATAATCCTCACAATATTGGCCTCAATTAACAACAGCAGCAACAAACCCACTAACTAGAGTAATAGGTTGGGAATATGAGCTCCTATTTCAAAAGAATAGACTATCTTTCTTCTTGTTCTCATTGTGGTCTGCATTTTCATTCCACTTCACTCTGAGCTGTAACTCTGTGTCAGCATTAAAAACAGATTTCAGCAGCAGAAAGGCCAACCTTGGTGCTTTTAAAAGTGCATAAATTAGTTTCCCTAAAAATATAGAAAAAGGATGCTTGCAATCTGTGACCTTGTGAACCAGCTTGTCTACTTCTGAAATTTTATAGCTGAGTTTTAAAACTTTGCAGAGTTGTGATGGAAAGGATGGTAGGTTCTTAAACTTACTTATAATGAAAGGTTTTATATGGTAATGAACCCTGGTAACAGGAGTACTTTGCAAGCTCACTGAAAGCTGAGAAAGATACCAGATTTAATTTATTGCTTAAAACTATTATATATTTGAGAGTACTGAACTTTCATTATATGCATTTCTTAATATGAATTGTCACTAAATATGCCAGTGAGGTTTGCTTCTACTCCCTACATTCACCCACTCTATGGGAAAAATATGAAAAAAGATTTCTTGTAAAGTATTTTTTACACTTCACAGTGCAAAGGCAAGGGGAACCAAATTGAGGATATAATAATGAGGATCTCAGCTTTGCCTGGCAAAACTAAAAGAAATAGGTAGATTGGCTCTTAAATGAAGGAGAGACACAATAAGCCAAAATTCAGGGATACTAGCATTTGCCTAGGGTGTTTTTCAATATTTTTCCTATTTTCAGCCAACACAGGAAAGTGTTTAACTGTTATCATTTAGGATGTAGAGGCAGGGCTGGTGGCCTGATGTTGAATCATCTAGTCTGAGAGGCAAGGTACTGTTTGCAATGCCTTGAAGAAAGAAACTGTACTTCTCAGAAGTGGGTGATTGTGAATGTCGCTCTCAAAACCAAAGATAAAGGTACTTCACATCAGGAATAGATATTGCAGGATAATTATCAAAGATTTTAGGGAAGGGAAAAATTATTGAAATACCACAAGATTGCAAACACATTTTATATATATTTGTAGCTTGACCATTACAGTAGTAATGGTAGCACAGTAGGGGTAGGACAGGACACTTTGAATTCCTGCATGGAATATGGTCACAGCTTTGCCTCCACATGGATGAGTGAAGGCAGCAGATGGAAGCTACAAATAACCTAGCATAGGGATAAAGTTGAAAAAATCCTTTAAGTCCTGCTTCTGAGCCTGTGCTGTTTCTGTAGACTATCATTAAGCTGAACGCAAGTCAGGGTCACAGCCTAAGTGCTGAGGTTCAGCGAGCAGATCTCATGGGAAGGAGCCATTAAGGTTTGCTATCATGAATATTCAATGTTAACACTTAATTTGTAAGTCACAGACTTTCTTTCAGCTGCTCTACTTAGCAGAACATCTACAGCCTAATGTCTCTAGGTGAAGAGTGTTATTTGTTTATTAGAAAACATTCTCAGAATAGCACATTAGAGTACAGCACTTCGGGTTAAGGGCCATTCTTCAAAATTTCCAAATACATGTAAGCTGTGTCCGAGGTGAGGACTCGGTGCACACCAGTGACACTTTACAGCCCCAGGACATGCAGCTATGACATACTGATGTTTCACAGATACCACAGAGGTCACATGAGGGCTCTTATTGTACATGGTGCTCCTCAAAAAGATGCCAACAATGTAAGACTGTTTCAAGCCTAAGTAACTTCTCCCTCTGAGCTTTAGGGCAGAAGCAGTTCACTGAACACTGATTGCTTAGGGCTCCACAGGAAATTGTATGTTTGAAGAACAACCCTTTTCTGCCACAGGGAATCCAATCATATCAATACAGGGAAAAAAGAAAAAAAAAATGGAAAAACAAAGAAAAAAAAAAAGAAAAAAGAAGTAATTCTGCTTATTTTCAAGTATTTCAAATTTTTTTCTTCTACAGTAAAAAATTCCCAGCAAATCAAGAGGCACGTGATACAAATTATACAAATTTGAAAGAACCATTCCAGTATAGGAAATGCATAGTGTTTTAAAGGTACATATGTGTATCTGTATGTGTGTTCGTGTAAGTGTAAGTCAGTGGTGCATGTTGAAATTACTTGTTTCCTTATTACTCTCCTGTTGTAATATTAGCAGAGCCTTTGTGAAAGTCATGTTTTTCCTCGAATTCAATAGCTTCCTGTTGTTGATTGAAACAGTGAAATTGTACAGCCATCCATGACATTACAATTTTGTACTAAGTTGTAGTGACTATTATAACTGAAAACACGGAGCATGAAAACCCTCAGCTGCTAGTGAGCAGTGGAAGTAAGAAACTTGCTCCAGAGAATAAACGTAGGCACATCAAAATCTTTTTTAATAGCGTTTGAATAAGAAAATATTTTATACAAATCCAAACAACAGTGGCTATCTCAGCTCGATTTCCTTTTGCATGTTAGATCAACAGCAGATAGCAGTATGCAGCAGACAAGGTGAATTATTCATATACTTCTTTCTAAGCTGAAGCACACTTCTGCAGATAAACCAAGCTGATTAACAATCACCACAGCATTTTTGGATGCTTCAGAGTCTGCTGAACTACTTATTATGGTTTCCTTTTCTGTGAGTGGAATATAGATAAATTCTGTTGCCTTTCAGGACATCTTAGTTAGTGATTTTTTTTATAAAGAAATATATATAGAGGGTAATTTGAAGTATTTTTTCCTGACAACAGTTACTTGAAGAGACAGATGCATAAAATTAGCAGGTATTTTGAAATTAGAGTATGTACACATAGAAGAAGTTATATTTTCATTATTCCTTTTCCTTCCCTGTGTATTCACAATTGACTTACCATTTCAGAAGGAAGAAAGTGAAATTATGGACTCAAAAACCAGGAGATGCATGTAGAAAATGCAGGTGAGACCCTGGTGAGCAGCAAGTGAACGCACCTCACTTGCTGTGGGCCAGTGACTGGGTGAACAACTGTGCACTTTGGGCAACCACTGTCCTGCTATAAAAAAAAAATCTATGCTGAGGAAGCATAACGTTAAGGAAGAACTGCAAATGAGAATATTGCTGCAGAAGACAGTGGTAGTTATTTCGTAAGACTAAATGGTGCAAAAAAATAGGGCATTAGACTCATGACCTGGAGTCCTTACATCATTACCAGAAAGAAAAACTTTTCTTTTTTCCTTTTCTTTTTTGAAAATGGTTTTGCCTTTTTTAGCAGTGGGAGAGAATATACACCAAATGATGGACATTAAAAAAATAACCTCTACTAAAAAGCCAACGTGTCTTTGCCTTGGTGATGCTACCAGAGCTAGCTCTAACTGAATATACTTCTTTTATTTCCAGATTATGAAATGTAAATTTCTTTTAATGCTTTTGGTTTATCAGGCTCACATTTGAATCATGTTTGGCAATATTGTCTGATTTTTCATTATTTTTTCCATAAATACTGTATGATGCATTCCATGTATATCATATACCATATATACTAATTTGTTTTTATGTACTCTACTTGCTATAGGACAATAAGAATTTTATATTCCCATTCAAAAAAAATGTGCCTCAGGTCTAATAATAGCATATCTTAGAGTCAATGTTCCCAATTCTTTCCTGCAGCTTGTGTGACAGCTTTATCTACTTATTAGTAATATACTTACCTGAGAAATTACTCTCAAAATGGAACATTTCATTGTGTATTTTCACCTTCAGGAAACTAATTTAGAGCTGCAGAGAGAGGTTACTAAAGCCTGAGGGAAAAATACTTAATACCATTTTGCTGCAAAAGATATGTATTTGAATTTTAACCGAGACCTTAGAAAGATCATATTGCCACCTGTTCACCCACTGCCCTTTCACTCCCTCTCCCCTGCCCCCATTGACATAAAACTTTTACATTCAGACAGTTGCAGCATTGTGCTGCTAACTACTATGATTTTTCAATTTAAGGAAGTGAATTCCCCAGCTTTAAACCTCCAGATTATCAGTCTTTTCTTTCTCAAGCTATGCAGTATCAGACCTAGGCTTGACTTAGCTACTGGCTCTCACTAAACCCAGGAACTGTAGTGCCATTTCTAATTCAGAAAACCCAATAAATCAAAACTCCAAGAGTGATTAAGTACCCACTACAGACCAAACCCACAAAGATTTGCTCAAGGTACCTACCATTTTTTAAGAAAGGAATAAAAATGTGGTTTCAGGGGGACACTTATATGTTTCTCTCCCTTTTTTTTTTAATTATTTGTTTTCCATTTCTAGTTGGGAGTGATTCAATCAGTTTATATTATTAATCCAAAAATATCAAAAATTACTTCAGCCATTAAACCTTAAACAATACAGAGCACAGAATGGGGCTTTCAATAGTAGGTTGTGACCAAAGTAATATTCTGAAACACTGACATCTCGTGGCATGCTGTAGAAATAACAAAATTCTCCAGAGAGGTGATGTCCTTTTTCAAATGAAGGTCAAGCAGAGCAGATGATGCAAAAGATTCAAAATACACGAATATTTTCAATCTCATTTAAAAAACAAAAGTGATAGATCTACTTTCTAGCTATATCATTATCTAAAACAACATTGAAGTACCTTCACAAAATACTAGGGTAAATGCTACATTAAACAGCACTAAGATAAAATAGTTAAGAGCATTTTACAATTACTTAGGAATCTTTTTTCCATTAACACTGTTAATAAATTGGACAGCCTTTTAGGTAAGCACAATGGAATGTGTAATGCCAATAAAGCACTTTAGTAACAAGTCACATAATTAAGGAGCAAATAATCACCCTGGAAACAAAGATGATGATTTTGAAGTGGTTTCATTATTGGGGTTCATCACAAGGTGATTGTCATTAAACTAAAATGATAGTGTATTCTTGAACTAGAGGAAAATAAGTGCCATGCAGCAAGAGAGCTGGGGTTCCATTCCCACCTCTTCTGAATCAGCCCTAGAGAAAAGTCCACCATGTCTGGCTACTCCAGAGAGTCAAGCAAATGACCTCTTCTAATAATAGTAGCAAAGTCTCCTTTTTTTGTAATTGGTACCACTGAAATACCTCTTAAAAATATCTGTTCTCAATTCTCAAAATATAGTAGAACTGACATTGATCAAAAAAACTCCCAAACAAATTACTTCCAGTCACAATCAGCTTTTTTTGAATTTGCAACCTGACTGCTTGCACTCACATTAGCTACACTTAATTATATCTTTAGTGGTGGCCTTTAGAAAGTGCTGTTAAAAGATCACAAAGCCTTCATTCTAGACAATTCAGACATCTTATCACCATTTAATTTTAATGTTGTTCATATGAATTTCCTCTCTGTTCTCTGTTTCACTGACCTTGTCTTTGCCAACAGCTACCTAGGGTAGCATTTCCTGCTTGGCTAAGTTCGTTCTAACTGTGATGCAACCTTGTCAACTGCAAGAAATTAGTGTAATTTAATACCCTAACTTCAATGTTAGCAGAAGAACGTAAAAGCAGGCTGTAGGGCAGAACCAGAAGAACAGACAGGTTTTATTAGCTTTATCAGTTCTAGTCCAAATTCTAAACTTGGTACTGTAATATTAGTTTTGACAATAGCAAACAACCTTTTTTTTCTCAATTCTGGAATTTTCTCTGACATTTGATAGAGAAATGAAAGATCACCAGTATTAATGACATGACCAACGGGAGTGAGCAGCTAAGGCAAAAAGTTTGAAGTAAAACTGACTAGGATCCTTCAAATCCTCATGAGAGGAAGGGAATGCTTGAGGTGGAACCAGTGCTACCAACAGCGAAGAAACCTAATTTTCTCCAGCACTTCACATTATAAACTAGAAGACCCTTGAATTGTCACTGTTACCAGAAAATAGAGAAACTATGGTTATTGATGTCACTTTGTTTAATCTATCTTTGGTGGTCAGGGAGTTTGGGAATTCTGCTATCATAGAATAGCAGAAGAGAATCTCTATGATTCTTGACCTTGGAAGCTGTCTGCTGACTGTCAGGGTTTCCAGAGACTGCACTAGTGAACTACCACCCTAGAAAAGATGTGTACAGGAACAATGTTTGCAAACTCTCTTAATACAGTAGAACATGAAATATAGTTTTGCTTAGCATAGACACAACTGGGAAAATTATAGCAGCTGAAAGTCAAGCAGGAGTATATATTAATATGCTAGAATTCTGGAAAGAAATAAAAATACTTTTAAAAAATAATTATAAATACAATGAATGAGAACAGAAATGGGAGATAATCACAAACTGGATCACATGAAGAATGAAAGAGATTAGGGAAAATAAATGGCTTTTTTTTAGTACTTAGTACAAGTGTTGAAAGAGGGAATATATTTGTTGCTTTGTTGGAAATTCTTGATACCTGCAAATTTTATCTTTGTGTCCTGCAAATCTTCCAGATGTCTTGACTGGCAAAGTGTATGTTGTTTAGGGTACTTTTTCATTTAGATTTCTATTATGCAGAATATGCTTCTACTTCTGTCATTCACAGTAGATTGTCAACTGTTCAAGCTGGGAAAAAGAGCAGTGGTGTAATGAAAAACTGAAAATAAATTCACTTGTCTCAGATTTTTCCGTCTACTTCTTTTCTGTGTATCTATACATAGAGAAAGAATATGTACATACTGTTGAGAAAGAAGCATACTGATTTGTGCCAGTGAATGGTATGCTGATATCACTGCTGGAATAAACATGCCAAGGGAAGAAAAATGCATTTGCATTTCACACTAGCAAGCTCGGCATTACAATTTTCCTCTTTTCACAAAGTGGTTTTCAATTTTAACCCTATATTTTTCTGTGCTAAAAGCTGAAAATATGAGTTAAATGTTGCTGTTTGGAAGACAAAATAATAACGAAAGAAGGCAATAAAAATTGATGTCAAACAAAACCCAGGTGCCAGATGACTTTTTTACTCTGAGAAAACAATGAGAAAAATCCCCATAAATCTAAGTGAAGATATTTAGTTCTTTCTATAGTTTCTCCTTCTGAACAATCCTAATCACTAAAGCAAGTTAAGCAACAACCTACAAGGAAGCTCTCTCGCTTACTTGCAGGTGAACTCAGAATGTGATAGACTCAACAGTTTTTTATGTGAATTTTCATATGAGGTGCACTGGAAAGGCCCATCTTCTCATCACAGAAGCCCAGTGTGATTGGCTTAGTTAGACATACACATACACAGTGTAGCCTATTTAAAGTTGCTCCCAACTGTACTGATATCAATAGAAACTTACATGCATAAATGCTACTGTGATACAGCCCTCATAAGATTCAAAGATTCAGAAGGAAGGTCTGATTGTACAAATTGCTGACACTCAGGTCTTCAGGGCATATATGCACTTATCTCCTGCTGAAGGGAATTAAACAGAAGGCATCAAAGGGTGATGCTGAAACTCCCGCAGGCTTCATTAACATAAATGCTGAGGTTCATTTCAAGTCAGTGTTAGCTTTTGTCTTCAGCAAGTCCTTTTCTCAGAACTTTAACTTCTAAATGAGTTTTATAACTCTTTCTTTCTCCATAGTTAAACATGAAATCTCTTCATAAATAATTTTCATCCTTATTTGTCTTCAGGCAGGAGACAATCACTTAGTACACCATTTTTATGACATGAAATTTAGGTTCTACTTTTTTGTTAAAGCAATTTACTATTAATTATATCCTAAAAAAAGTAAAGCTTACTTCCATTAAAAAATTACTACAAACTGGAGAAAGTATAATTAAATACCACTATTAAAATTGAAAACAGGCAGATGT